CGCCGCGTTGGGGGGGGAGACGGTTGTGCGCGAGCCGGCTCAGCGGCCTTGTGACGCGCGGCCGGTCGCGGCATGTTCCTCGCACTAGGACGCGGCGAGCACTGGAGGACTAGGAGGACTGCTGGTTGCGATCGTCTGCGGTCTGCTGCTGCCTTCAGGCGCTGCAGGTGAGGACGGCGGCTCGCGGAGTCGGCGGCTCGCTGAGTCGATGAGTCAGCTGCGGCACCGGTCGCTTGTCATGCGCTTGGAACTCTGCGACTCATGCATCACGCTGCGCGGTGGGTCCAGAGATGGACGGTTATAGCCCCCCCCCCCCCTCTCTCCGCGCCCCGCCCAAGGACGCCGCAGTATGTACCCATTGACGGCCGGTCGTTTCCCTGTAATTATTTCGAGACGCCGCTCACATCCGCCCTGGGCCTGCTGAGGGCCTTTGAAGTGAGTCAGGTCTGAGTCCGCTTGCCAGAGGTTGCCCAACGGCGTACGTCAGCAGGGACTTCATCGAAGGGACAGACTGGACGCGCTCGAGAAGAGGCGCGCTGAAAAACAACGGACTTCCCACCCTCTTTAACTTCTGATCGCCGGTTGAGCCTTGCACGGAAGACAGGGCAGAGCTGGCTGGCAGTAGCAGATGTAATGGACTCTGGCGTATTTGTGGTCGAGCTGACCCCGCTTGGCGATGGGGCCGATCAGAAACCTGACCGTGGCTAGTGCCCGTGATGATCCGTGGCTACCTTGCCTTCGCGGCCAGATGTTCACACGGCTCTGTCTTGGAAGGGGGCTGCTAGAGGCACTTCTGCCGCGGTATGTAACATTGAACGGCGGAAATGGGCAACGGCTCTTTATTTCATCTACGGTCGAATCTATTTAGAGCATACCGGCAAATGGGTAGCTGGTCGATCGTATGCCTGATTAGCAGCTGATTATGATGAGTCTTGGGCCTTATGAACGTAAGATTACTATTTTAATCACTGTGTGATCCGCGTGCTCTTAGCTCTTTCATCAGCTCAGACGCCGCGCTGCGCTGGTATGCGCTGGAATGCAAAACCATTACTAAGGCCGCTCCACCTTCTAACGAGCAGCAACCAACCGAAGCCGATGCGTATGACCCGGAGACAGGGCTTGTTCATCACGCACCACGAGGAATGAACGAGGCAAGCCGGTCACTCGCAGTGTCAGAAGCGGCGGATCATATCCACCATGGATGGGGCTGCATTTAGCCTTGTTATGTGTGGTGTGTCTGGTTATGCTGACCAACACCACGTGACCGGGAATCATTGTTATTCCCGGTGTGGTTCCAGAACTGAAGATCTCTCGAAGCTGTCCAAATTTGAGGCACGTCTTTTAATTCATCGGCCTGGACAAACAAAGGCTGAAAATATTTTTATGTGACCAACCGACTCCCATCCGGTTTAAGTCCTGTCTTTTTCTCCACGACCCACTGATAAGAAAAGCTTACCGACTTCTGCAACCACCAAAGCCACATTGCGCCCCAAAAGTGGAGAAGAAATCTAGGGATATCCTTGTGATATCATAGACCTCATGGATGCAGAGCACTGAACCGCTGAGAGCAGTGTTATGAGGCGGTTGCAGCCACGGTCCCTGTTCTCCCAAAAAGTAGCCAGCTTTTCCCTTTCCTATTTGCTGCAGGATTTGTCGCTGTGTGCACGCCCCGGTGGATAGTTGACTTTGTTATGGGCGCACAATGACCTTGGCCGCCGGCACCGCCCTAAGCCCCAATGATTATCATCATCACAACGAATTCGTCGGCGAGGACACCACGGCGCCGCCCGTAGACTGGAGAGCCCGTCGCTCGTCTCCACGGCGCTAGCAGCTGGACCCCACTGCGCCTGCGATCAGTGCCGGGAGGCTCGCTCTGACGCTGCCCTAGCCCCTGTGTACCCCCTCCCACCGCGAGGCCCAGCCGAGTGTCCGAAGTGGTGTGGACCGATCGTCGTCCGGTGGGCTGGAAAAGCTCTCCTGTGTACCCCTCCCCTTCCCCCTCCCCCCGCGAGGCCCAGCCGCGTGTCCGAAGCGGTGTGGACCGATCGTCGTGTGGGCTGGAGAAGCTCTCCTGTGTAC